AGTGAATCTGCGTTCGACTACTCCGCCTAGGCTGCACTGTCGAGCGCAGATCCACTGAGCGCTCAACACAGACAGCATAGTCAGAAGGAAGAGTGCAGGGCAAGCTAGCAAGACAGAAGTTAAGTTCTCCTTGCAACATGAACCTCCCCCACTCTCATTCAGATCTGGCGTTTGGAATTATTTTGGTTTTCATGTGACGTATGACCCTGAAGGTAAGCGAGTCATGGACTAAAGTAAAACAGTATGTTGGATGTGCCACGCAATGCTCAATTACTAGTGGGAACTAGTGTGTTAGCGCAGTTAGCTCGTTAACGTGTTGGCCGTCTAGCCCCATGCACGGAGCGATCGGCGGTAGCTCGTTAACGGAGATTTGCCGTGTTGTGGTGTTAAGGTCATTTCAACGAGATTAACCTGAAAGCACTAGTGGGAACACAACGAATATGACTGCACATTTACGCCGACATCATCCTAGTGCAAAGACAAAAACAACAAGCATGCTACTAACTTTAGCCGAGTCATTTAGACAGCTGTTAGCACATGATTCTCCTTATGCTGCTGAGAATATAGCCCAGAAAAGCGGATAGTATAGCTTTTATTTTGGAAAGAGACATTTCTCTGTAATAAACTCTCTTTTCCAAAGATGAGTGATTCCTCAATCAGATACAGGGCTTGCAATATCGCTAGCCCGACGTCCTGGAGCTAGCGATTTTTTCAGTCGGGCTACCAAAATCTATCTCTTCCCTGCCGGTCGGGCTATTGTAGTATATATGTGTGTATGTGTATATATATATATATATACACTGCCATATATACTGCGCGTGCTGGTTTGAGCCTATAGATTGGTCTGAACGGTCCAACTTTAGCTGCTCAAAATAAATAAAAATGGAAGTGGAGGGTTTAAAATCCACTTGAGCAAACCCCCCGTAGCGCTCAGAGATATGAGCCCAGGTAGGGGTTCGCACAGCTGCTGTCGTTGCATTGTGGGATTGGCTGACAGTAGCGCGTGGAGGTGGGGTGCAGTTCAATTGTACGTTCAGGCCTGCAGGAAACTGCAGGAGATCCTCCGGAGAGGCGCGCCTTCAGCCGCAGATATTCACGTTAACGGAGCCGGTCAGCGGGAGGACTGTCCACCATGTCTTCATTCTTTGGGGTCGTCGCCAAGCAGATTAAAAGCCACCCAGCTGTAAGTCTCAGCCACTCGTTTTATTTTTACGGTCGTATTACCAGCCTGTGACCAAGGAGACGGTGACACTGAAACGTGCCTATCAGAAGCTTGAAGCTGCGCGCGCTCCCGTTCCCCCCCCAAGATCTCTCCTTAATTACCTGATGTGGGATCAGCTGTAAAGGCTCAGGAAAACAGTTTTTGTGACTTATCCACACACTGACACCCTAAAGTACGCATTCGTAGAGTATTTTACTATTTATAAAAGCAAAAATAATTCATATACAGCTCTGAGTGCGGAAATCTCAAATTCCTCGACAGACTCACAGGTTCGGTTAGAAACATTGGTAGAACATTTCACGTCACTACATTCTTATTGCTTTAATCACTGTATTCGTGTAATCCCGTGAAAGCTTTTCTTGGGTTTTTCACCCGCAACCTCCTGACAGAGTTCGTTTTTGCGCTCTGGCATCCGCAGAATCAGACAACCGCATCACCTGCTCCTACTGAGCGTGATACACTGATACTGTTGTTACTGAAATGTTATAATGATGATAATCTAAAGGTTCAAATCTGTGTGTGCGCGCGCGCGGGGGGGGGGGGGGGGTCGCTTGTTTCACGCCACGTGCGTCTGTAGCCATGCGAAAGGGTTTGTGGTGGCAGCACGTATAGCGGTGGAGTAGTTTCCATATTAGCTTGAGTGAAGGCCAGATAAATGCATGTGAGGGTTTATTTCTCCAAGGACGACGGTGTGAAAGGGTTTGGTTTGTGGCAGCCTCCATATTAATAGACCTCTGGATGGAAATGCTTTGTCCCCCTCCTGCTCTGTGACTGAGCAGCCTGTTGCTCCCTGCTGGTGAAAACTCTTCATTGTTTAAACAATCCTCTTATGTCATGAGATAACAATACCAACATGGAAATTCTGTGCATTTTATACATCATAGACTGTTACTATAAAAGTAGCACTGCCTTAGCAAGGCTTTTGAGGACAACTGCACATTTTACCCACAGCAGCAAGGTGAGAAAGTGGCCCTGGTTGTATTAATAGCTGTTAGACACATGCAACTGGCCACGGGGTCAAAGTGTGGTGATATAAGCAGGGACAACAACTATTTGCCCTTATCTTAAAACTTAATAAGACACATTATGTCTTGGCAATGCACAGTAGGAAAAACTGGACTCCTACACATGGTTTGTAACAGATGAAATGCTGAATAAGATCCAAAAGGACGCAGATAACAAAGATCTATCAACGTTTATAGATCAAACATAGAAACATACTCTTTAAGGCTCCACACTGGAAATCCTGCAAGATCTGCAGCTGCAGAGGAAAGCAGAGTCCGTCTTGTCTGTTCCCATCTTTTATGTCTGCAGTTTTAGTTTCTGACATCTGGTAACCTAATCTAGGACTACCACTTCCAGTCAGAGAGCAACAGATTTACACAGATTTATAGCAACTTCTCCTCCTCCATCCTAAACTCAAGAAGGAAAATGTGCCCAACATTTTAAAACTCTGTATATTGTTCTCTTTCTGGTTTTGCTCCACTGGCATTGATAAAGCATAGCTTTATTGACTAATTGATGCCCTTTCTCCAAGCTGATCCCCCTGTTCATCTTCATAAGTGGAGGGCAACCATGAGTGTGTTGGCCCTGACCAGGGCGGCTCTGAAAAACCCAGACGTGTCGTAAGTATCTGAGACGATTTAAACTTATAGAAAAGCGGGCGTTTTCACTTTCCTCGGTTACTCGGGGATGTGTTGTTTCGATCACGGCTTTTCCTCTTGTCTTCAGATGGGATCACAAGAACAACCTGAACCCTGGAACCAAATGAAGCCCAATCAGCAGTACAAAGTACGAGCCGTTTTTCTTAATCCTTTACGTCAAGTTATAGAGCAGGCATGTTTCTACAAAGGACAGGCCATAATTTTCTGTTATCTTGCGTCAAAGTCCATATCTCAGCAGTCATATGATAATGCATATTGTTTTTATGTGTGTGTGTGTCCAGCTTCTTGCAGTAAACATGGATTACTCCAAACTGAAGGAGGACAGGCCAGACTTCTAAGCCATCCGTACGAGGAGCCTTTGCACTATTTTTAAAAAAAAATCAAACAACCTATGACAGCAAAATGAAAGTTTATTTCCAGTGTGCTGGGCAAAGGGATCATTCACCTATAAATGACTATGAATAAAACAGACAACCACCTGTTTTACTGATGTGAATATAATTATCAGTTTGCTGCCATAAATTATTAAAGACTATTTAAATCTTTAACGCCTCCCTTGCATGCTTACAGGCAAGAGCTGAGGGGAAAGATTACAACACATCAGAAAATGTGAGAAACAAGAATGTGCTCTTTTAGTGTTTACAAAGAAACTATATTAGAATTTGAGACAATGAGAACAAGTGCCACCTGATGTTTGTTTATATTATTTAAATAGCCTTATATTTAATGCATATATCTCAAATTCTAAATGGTTTAACCATCATCTGCACCTGGTCTTAGATTTGAACCTAAAAGAAGAAATTCTTATTCTATTGACACAGATTTTACATTTTAATGTCTAAAGTAAGTTTGAATTTTTAAAATCCAGTGTTGAGCCATCCCTTGTTTGTGTGTTTGTTTTTGTTTTGTTTGTTGCTTTTTTTATATTTTGCTTCCAACTAGTCAGACTTCCTTGTAATTTTAATGTGTTCTAGAGCAATTCTTGAAAAGCTCAAAGCTTTTGCCCCAATTTCCTTAACTAAATCTATGAAAAATGCCAAGGATAACAGAGTCTGAGAGACATAAAATTGTATTTTGCACCAACATAGTGATTCCCAAAGAGCTATTAGTTGAAATCTTGGCATGGTGTGCAGGTAGGATGTTCTTCAGGAATGGAAATGGGGAGAAAAGCCTGAGGTATGCCAAATGAATCCAAATTTGAAATTGGTGGTGGTAGTGGTGTCCAATCTTATGATAAAGGGTAGGATAAGTTTCTCAAAATGAAACATTTTTATAATTTTCACCCCTTGTGTAACTAACATGTTTTGCAGGAATTATGATATTATAAATTCTCTTGAGAACTGTGTTGCTCTCACGTTTATTTCCAGTTTATCGCACTGCACTCCACTGGTCAAAATTTAATGCACACCTGACAGAAATTCAAAACACCTCACTTGCCTTAGATTATTATCTCAAAATGTCGAGTCATTAGCTCAAATTTTCGACTTCATTTCAGAAATTTCAAGTTATTTCTGTTTTGTTTTGAGATATTTTCACAAAAGTTTCATTAAGATGATGATAATAATAATAATATAATAATAATAATGGATAATCACCCACAATTTTGAAGTATGGATGACAACTAAACTAAACTAAAATACAATAAAATAAATTTCAGTATTGAAAAAAATTCCATAGCTCTGATTTTGTAAATTATTCATTTATATTATTGCTTTTCTGAAAACAATATTAAAATTTCATTTTTAATTTTATTATTTATTTCATTGCGATCTCGAGGTTCAAAGCCAAATCTCTCTTCTCGCGAGATTTCACTTAAAATAACGCGGGACCATATGAGAATTGAGTCCGTTGAAACAGAAAACACAAGGCAAGGATCAGAGCACAAATGACGTTCGGGTGAAAGCTGAGATAAACGACACTAATTTCAGCTCAGCACCGCTTGTTTGGACAGCGTCGTTGTGGAAAAAGTCATTTGTTTGACATTTTTGACGTTTAACTGCCCGCAATTGTCTGCTAGCTGAGTTCAGCTAACCAGCTGACTTTGCTCCTCGGTGGCTAAATGGATCCCACGGAGGATTTGTCCGCTCGGGTCCTGCTGAAACATATTCTCACCACCGAGCCACCCAGACCCCTGTCACACGCAGGTACGGTTCATTTTCTGGGAGAGAACTACGAAAGTCTTATTCACTGGCGTTTCAGCATTAATGCTAGCTAAGCTATCGCTAACGACAAACTTGTGGTTGTCGCACGTTAGTCTCAGCGGCTTTGTATTCAGTATTATTAATCGTAAGATGACTTGTCTCCAGTAATTCACAGGAGCCGAGTAGCAGCGGGACCCGGCGGAGTAGCAGGCTCAGCAAGAAAGATGCTGGTCCCCAAACCCCGCAGGAGATCCTTAGGCGGAGCATGAGACATAAGCTCCATGAGGTAAAATAGAGGTGAGCAGCGTAGTTGTTATTCGTGGGCATGTTAAACTTATTAACTTTGTCCCTTTTTCTAGAGCATAACCAGAAATCCCTCCCCGCCACTAAAAGGAGGACTGCCTCAGTTGTGTTAAAAAAGGCAAACATGCCTGCCACATCTTCAGTACTGATTAATGACGGAGACACTCCCAGACACATACTCATAAACATCCTGCGGACAGGTGCGTGAACTAGCCTTCTTTAATTCCTGGTTGGTTTCGGTTGGTTTTGCTTTTGCTTATATGTTTTGGTTTTCAGAGCCGGTGAAATCCCCCGTGGTTCATGAGACAGAAACATCTGAAGAGCCGGAGCCACCTTCAGCCAATTCGACCATCTCCAAAACGCATCACAGTGAGCTGTGGGTTACAGGGTGATTGATGGTATTACTGAATTAATCCTGGTTGTGATGGAAAATAAACTTTGAGCTGAATTGACTTTCAGTATGGAGCTGTCAGGGCTGGACCTGCCTGATGTAACAGTTGGCCCAGCAGCCAGCACTGCAAAGGGACTGAGCCGAAAGAGACCGCGCAGGAGTTTTAACACAACGGCTTTTGAAAAACGACTTAAAGATGGAGATGGTAAGATTGAAACGAGCATTGAGGAGGTACACAGATTAAAAATGAGGTTGTGGGTTTTTTTTTTTTTTTGTGCTTCTGCAGCAATGTGAACACTTACTGTGTATGCTGGATGTTTGTGCTTCCAGAAGCTGAAGAGGAAACTGAACTATCAATAGATGACAATTCATCACTGTCTGTGTTGAGGTAAAGTGTACAAAGAATGCAAAATATTAATTCTAATCAGGGATCAAACCCATGACTAGGTTAGAATTAATGATCAGCGTGTGAATGCACACCATGTTTGTTTTTATGGTTTTTAGTTTATGTCCAATCTGTTTTTCAGCTCTGCTTCCTTGAATTTAAAAACTCCGTTTGTTGACGCTAAGACTGAGAAAAGAGGTCTGCAGAGAAAAGTTTCAAATCGTCGGAAAATCTCAGAGGAAGAATTTGGTGCTGCTGTAGATAAACGACGGATGGGAGGTGAACACTGCGCTCAAAATACTTTATTACATTCTTCTAATGGGACACAGGTTTTTCAAAGATTTCTTTCTGAGGCACAGCAGCCATACAACCATATGGTGTAAAACACAGAAACTTAACCAGAAATGTAATATAATCTCACACACTGTTGTTACCAACTGGTTAATTTGATAATTGATTCATTCATTGCTAAATAATCTCACTATCAGGATTTTTCACCTTGAGAACTGTCACTGTATTTTGACCTGCTATTGAGTCACTTTAAATATCACCTTCTTTCGGTTGCTCACTTTAGGGGTCACCACAGTGAATTTGTCAGTGATTTGCATCCATCTTTATCCTCAATCCCTTTATCCCTCCTCTGCACATGTCCAAACCCCTCAGCTTTGCCTCTGTAACTTTGAGTCCAGACTTTGACTAAACCTGAGTTATACTCATTTCTAATCTTGTCCTTCAGACTTCTTAACATCTTCGGCCCCAGCTTGGCCTCTGGTCCTTTATTCAGACATTTTGGTCTTCTGCCACAAACCACCCCTGACGCGTATCTCCACCGTCTTCTTCACCTCTCATACATTTTGTAGATGAGTGCATGTGAAAATGTTTCAGTAAGTAAAGCTGTTACCAGACTGCAAAGAAACAGCTGCTTGGGACCATGTCTCAAAAAGAATCGTGCTGAAGGGAGGTTTAAAAAAAAAAAGTGGAACTAGATTGGATTGTAATTTTGTTTAATGCCAGTTTTTATCACAAGATTGTGTAACAAGGCCATGTAACCTTTGGTTAAGTTGCCGGCACACATACAACAACTATTCAACCTACCTACAAGTAAGGTGCTGCCCCCTGCTGGTGAAAGTTTTAGTTAAATTCTGCAGAGGTTCAGTGCAAACCTACGACTGAGTATAAATTTAACACTTCAGCCCAGTGATGTGAGAACAGAAGTACAGCATGAAAAGAATTGTAGGTTATTTGCACCTGCTCTTTACCTCCACCTTACATTTTCCTCCTTCCTGTCATCCAGGTATGAGCAGCTTTGGACCTGTGGAGCAGGGGCTTGGTGAATCTACTCACTCTGAGGGCTTCACCTTAGGTCTAAGCAAACTCAGCGAACCAGATATCACAGCCGATATTGTGAACTGTAACACGGCTCTCTACGCCCAGGCTGATGCCATGACCTCCAACTTTTCTATCATTGCTACTCAGGACAAACCTACAGTCGTGCGTCTCAGCTGCAGAAGGACATGAGGAGATGGAGCCAGAGGAGCAAATGGAAGTGGAGCAGAGCAAGCTGGAAACTGACCAATTGTGTGTGTTTCCAACTGAAGATGAATCTGAAAAGAAGGAAGCAAGGAGAACAGTTTACAGTAAACCTGAAGATGTCTTGGCAAATCTGACGGAGATGAAGATGTAGTTCAATCTCGGACCGGTGTAAGCGAGGATGCAGCTCAGTTTGAAGACGTTGAGGAAAGAGCAGAAGTTGCTCTTAATTCCGAGCTTGAACAGGGTGTTGAAGCAGGGTCACAGGCTGAAGAGGAAGCTGAAGCAGATTCTAAAACTGAAGAGGAGGAGGAAGAAGATGAGGAAGATGTAGTTGACTCTAACACTGATGGAGGTACAGCCGACTCGCAGATCGAAAAGGGTGATGACGCAGGTTCTCAGTCTGAAGACGAGAATGTGGCTGAGGATCAGACTGAAGAAGAGGAAGAAGACAAGAGAGGCGTAGAAGAATCTCAAACTGGTTCCCAGTCCGAAGAGGGAGCTGAAGCATCTACTCAGTCTGAGGAAGAGGACGTTGTACTAGACTCTCAAACCGAAAAGGATGAAGAGGATGGTGGCACTGAATATCAACTGATGAAGTTGTAGCAGCCCTGCCTGAAGAGGATGTTAGTGGTCAATCTGAGAGAAATGAGCACGTGACCAAGTCTGAGAACGAAAATGACTTTGAGATCTTCAGCGGTGAAAATGAAGAGGAGGCATCAGCTCAGCTGAAACATGACTCAGAACACATCAGCCGGAGGGCTTATCGCTCTGAGGGCGGTCTCATTGTGCCGGTTACAGAGGCAGCAGAGGATTTCCCTAATGCTACGTTTGCAGGTTAAAAAAAAAATCAATTAATCAATCATTTAGCATTTAAAAATCTGTATGATTGAGATTAAATATTGTTTGTGGTTTTGTTTGTAGGATGGCCTGATGCCAAATTCAAAGGACATGGCACTCTGGATTTGCGCACCAGCTTTGAGATGGGAAGCCATGAGAATGGTCAGACTCACACCGGAGACCCTGATGTGGCCGAATCCTCAACCCAAGGACAGGCAGAGGCCACTGGGACAACGAATGAGCCTGAGGCTGACAAAGAGAACTCATTTCCTCTGTCAGAGGGAACGTATGACATTGAAGATGGTAGGAGTGAAACTGTGCCTGATGAAGCTCCAGCTGAGGATGCTGCTGAACCAGAAGAAGAAATGGAAGAAGAAGAAGAAGATTATGATGATGAAGAGGATGAAGGTTATTTTCTCTTTTAACATGCACTGGTAAAATATCTATTTAAGCATTCAGAATGACTAAGAAATCTGTTTTCTGATAGCTTCAGACTTCCCCTGCAAGACTCCAGCGTTTGTCAGACAGAAAATTAATTTTAATCGTCCTGATCCTTTAGCATCACCTTCTGTTCTAAAGAACAATCAGGCCAGGTAAGCTGCATGTCCTATTACACTTAAGTGTGTGTGTTTGTGTGTCCTGTGGGTTTCAGTCAGGACTGTTTTTAGGGAGAAAGAAGTACCTACTCAGCTGGGGATATGGACCTTTCAGCTGACACAGTGCTCTTTTAACTCCCTAAAAGCTTCTCTACTTTAAATAGAAAAACTGCTATTGTAGCACAGGTACAGAATCAAGTTTTTATTCGGCAATTCACTGACACTCTCTTCTGATCTCCACCAGTACCAGCGGTACAAGAGAACCTTTACCTGCAGCTAAACCTAAGCAGAGGAGAGTGAGGAAGACGAGGATCTCTAAAAAGGAAACTATCCTTCCTAAGAGCTACCTTATGGGCGTCTTTAAGCAATTTGCCAAAACAAAAGTCTCTGCAGACGTCCACCCTGTCCTAAATGAAATGTAAGTAACACACTGTGTTTCGCCATTAATCACATGCAGTGTCTCTTTGTCTGTTAGAACTGTGTGTTGCTTTAATATAACAGATTTGTTGTAATTTTAACAGAATGGATAAATTCTTTGACCGGCTAGCTGAGGACCTGGAGACGTATGCTGCCCATGCAAAGAGAAAAACCATAGAGGTCGAGGACGTTGAACTTCTGCTGAAAAGGTATGAGGGCAGAATTCAAGACTTTTTGCAATCAGATGTTTTTAATGTCATAAAGCCCCTTTGTTTAATTAAGGAGGAAAAAGCAAAACTTAAATACCACTTAAAAATGTAGCGAACTACATTATACACAAAACTGCATTATGTATTCCTAGGAGGGTTTGAGGAGGCTCAGTACAACACTGCTATATAACTTTATGGAGCAAACATGTACAGATTTATTTAAATACCTTGTTCTGCATATCTCAGTGTACATGTCAACTAGCTAGCTGTTTAGTTTGTCTGGTGTGTGTTATCAATAAATGAATAAAATGAACCAAAAAACAAAGCAAATCAAGAAACCTATACTGAGTGTAGGCCTGTCTTTCCTGTCCACTCTCCACTATCTAATAAAGGCAAAAGGCCCCAAAATAATATGTATTTTAAGCCAGAAGTGCCCGCCTGTACAGGTAAGGCACTGACTCTACAGTAAGGGGGAGGAAAAAACCCACTCTGCAACGCTTGGATTATTCTGACCTCTAGATGGCAATGTTGAGCTCTTTGTAGTTTGAAGGCTATATCTGACTGTAATAAGAGCATAAGCCTGTAGAATATCTTAAATGCTGCCTATAGGTAGCACACCTCATTCATGATCTATTTTCTGACATTTCACATAAATTTTCTAACATGGAACTTAACCAGTATGTGTTTGTAACTTGCAGGCAGGGTTATGTGAATGACAAGGTGCCAGTGGAAGTGCTTATTGAAAAATATCTTCGCATGGACCAGCGAAGGCTTCTAATCCCCATCGCAACCAGTGGAAATGTTGTTATCCCTGCAAAGCGGAGGTGAATCTTTCATCTCCTGGACTGCTACTTGTTTTTCTGTACACTGCGTTCAAACAATGCCTTTATTCATTGGAGCATAAAAGCTTCTGTAAATGTGTAAATTACATGCATGTATCTTTATTTTACTGCGAGTCTCTGGATAACTGTACTTTGTTGCTGTTAGGTATGTTTTCATGGGTGCAAATATGCGTGCCAACTGTATTCTCTACAATATGAAACAAAGCAGTGTCTAAACTTATAATAATAATAAAGGAAGCTGAAATAAAGTTTCACATATCTGTGCTTCACACATGTATTATTAAGGAAATACTCAGACAGAAATATCTTATGTTTGTGGATCGTGAGGGGCATTTGAATTATTTGTTTTTCCTTGATAAATTAGGATTTCAGCCCATCATGCTGTGCTTTGTGCTGCTTATTAAGAAAGTTATGCAGATATACACTGCTTTTATAAGGCTCAGAAAGACTAGATGGCCTAAAAATTGTGTTTTTATGAGAGTACTTGAAAAATGGAGAGAATGTGAGGACAGCACCGCCTGGTCCAGAGTGATTCAGCCTTGCTCACTAAATGAGGCAATCGATATATTTCATCACAAATGACTGGTTTAAAAAGGAGGACATAATAAGCAAGAAACATGCTGTAGTGGTAGACTTCCTCTGCTGCTAATAATGTTTTCCATAAAAGCTTAAGCTTTTGTTATATATACACACTCAAACAGGCGCTAATAACATGTGATGCTTCTTAATTCATTTTTACATTGAACAGCTGATGTCTATTTATCTCTGCTTGAGATTACAGGGCTATTTACTATTCTTTTTAAAATGGGCTCAATTAGTTTTGTTTGGATACATTATGTACATGTGAATGTCATGGTGATTTGGGGCTTTTAATGGGTTTTTTAAACTTGTTTTTCCAGGGTGGAATGATTGTACAGCATACATGTTTAAAGACTTTAAGTGGATACAAGTGGGCAGCATGGTCGTATGGGGTTTAGCACTGTTGCTTCACAGCAAGAAGGTCCTGGGTTTGAATCCATCATCTGGTCGGGGGGGTTTTCTGTGTGGAGTCTGCATGTTCTCGCTTGCTCCCACAGTCCAAAGACATGCAGTTACTGGAGTTATTTTAACTGGTGATTCAAAATTTCCCATGGTTATTGGTCTTTCTTGCAACACATTGGTGACCATTGGAAATATATATACTCTCCCACTAATATTTGGTTAAATGCCCCTTAGCAGGTTGTGTCTCAACCATAACCAAAGGGTTATGGTTGAGACACAACTTGCTTGTGTCACAGATGCCTGTGTCACAATTCTAGCTGGATATTTAATCACTCTTTTTGGAGGAATTGATGGAATTCTCAATAGGGTTGACATTGGAGTTTTGAGACAGCCATTCTAGAAGCTTAGTGTTAGCCTGCTTTATTGATTCCAAAATCAACGTAACATGTGTTTGGGATCATTTCCCTATTGAAACACTCAGTTGTGTCTATGTTTCAAACATCTAACTGTTGATTTAAGGTGTGCAATGTACCAGCACCACTGGGAGCAGTCCCAGAGCATGATGCTACCACCAGCATGCTTGACAGCTGACACAGTGTTCTTAGGTTTGAAAGCCCAACCTTTACTTCTTGAAACATCCCTCTGTTGTTGTGGCCAAATAGCTCATCTTTTTCTCATTTGACCATAATACTCTTCCCTAGAATGTATTTGGCTTGTCCATATAGCAAATCTAATTCTAAATTGAGCTTGAAGGTGTCAGATTTGGAATAGATGTGCATTCTTGGCCAGAGCTGTTGTTCTTGAACATCCTAACCAATTTTCTCTCTTATCCGAGGGTCTTCTTCCAGACCTTGGCAAAATGAGACATCAAAATAAGTTGTACTTTAATAAAGTTTGAACTGATTATCTTGGATAGTGCCGTTGTTTAGAAATGGCTCCAAAATACCTTGCTAGCTTGTGTAAATCTACAGTTCATATTAAATCTTCAGTGAGCTACTTGTACTTTCCTATTGCTCTGAGTGTTGGACACTGTAAAACCTTAAGCAACACATAAAAGATTTAAGTGAGTGTATGTTTATATTTGAGCCTGTATTAGGGCTGGGCGATATGACCCAAAATTCATATCTCGATATTTTTTACCTAGATGGCGATATAAGATATATATCTCGATTTTTTTTTTTTAAAGCCATAAAGTAAGAACAAAAAAGAGAGTTCTTAGTCAAAGCTGTGTCCCAGATGTCACACAGGCACTTTTATTAACATAGAGCATAGATGTACATAAAATTTACTCAAAAATAAATTATGAGCATTTATTAAATAATAATGCTCCATAAATAAAAGAAAACAATGTTGTTTTTGTGCATAACAAAAAGCTCACAATTGTGCAGTCAAAATGTAAACTAAAAGACGCTGAGCACAATAACAAAGACAGATTTCACAGCTGCTCTGTTCCCAACTTCTACTCTGTGACTGACAGCATTGAGTTTGAAATCCTCTTCGTAACCACGTCTCTTAACAGGTGCCATTTATGGTCCTTATACACAGTAGGGTAATATTACGTTGAAGCACAGTACGTATCACTCCGCGAGGCTCCTCGGTAGCCGTAATGCTCTGACAGTCCATCAAGCGGTGCAGCTCCGTAGCTTACCAAAGTCGTACTAAAACATTTTTTGACAGATTGCTGAGCGCTGTGTACCACATAAAATCGGTTCGCAGCCATCAAGCACAACCAGAATTCATACATAAGGCGCGCTGTCAACTTTTGAGAAAATGAAAGGATTTTAGGCTGTGCAGCGCCTCTGGGCTGCATGGCGTTAGCGTGGTTAGCTCGTTAGCGTAGTTAGCTAGCTAACACGTTGACGGCGTCCAGCCCCACGCACGGGTCGATGCGCAGTAACTCATTAACGGAGATTTGCCGTGTCCGTCTTGTCGCTTCCTGCAGGTGAAGCGATGGGGGAGGAGGGGGAGTTGTATTCAGTGAAGGAGGGGCGAGGCCGAGTAACGTTGCGTAAAGACAAAAGTGGACGAAAGAGAGGCAAACTTGCGGCTCCACAAGTATAGCTTTAACGTAACATAGACTATATCGATATAAAAGATATTGTCACATCTTATATCTCGTATAAAAATATATCGATATTTTTTTAAAACTCGATATATCGCCCAGCTCTAGCCTGTATGTACAATGTTGACCCTGTGTCGATTAGAGAAAACTCAAAAGACTTAGAGACTTCCATCTGCCACTGAGGGTGCTTAAGAACTTCTACTCCTGCACCATTGAGAGCTTCCTGATGGGAAACATCTGCACCTGGTTTGGGAACAGCACCAAGCAGGACAGACAAGATCTGCAAAGAGTGGTGCACTCGGCTGAACGCATCATTCGATCAGAACTTCCTGACCTGCTGTCCATTTACACCAAGCGGTGAAAGACTAAAGCCAGGAAGATTATGATGGACCTCTACCATCCCAACAATGGACTCTTCTCACTGTTGAGGCCTGGGAAGCGCTTCTGCTCCCTTAAGGCCAAAATAGAAAGAATGAGGACGAGCTTCTTCCCCCAGGCTATTCGGACCCTGAACCAGGTGTAGGACTGGACTCTGCCACACGCATCACATCACCACACGCACTCTGGTTTTTTGCACACTTCTTATAATTAATAAGTTCTTCTTTCTTTTTTATTCATAATTTATTTCATGAACTGTTATTTGCACATTTTTACTGTAAATTTCCAAGTTAAAACCTGTAAATTTTGTAGTAATCTGTAAATCTTACTGTCATTTAATGGTCGGGTATTGCACAGCAATAAGCATTTCACCACATGTTGTACTGTGTATGGCTGTGTGTGTTAATTCAGATAAAATTTGAATTTGAATTTGAAAATGGAATTAAACTTGTGCACCCAGAATACTTTTGTTGTTGTACAGTCATTACACCCCAGAAAAGAATAGTTCAAACAAATAATTAGGCTGAAAATAAATAAGCTGAAAATCACCGTGACATGATGATAAGTGTTTATGAACTTCAGACCACATTTATAGATGGATATATAGCAGTGGTTTGTGAAATTACTCCCAGACAGCAGGGTGTGCTATTTGTGAGACACTGCTATAGTGGTCCAGCTCAACAGCCAGCTAGCTAACAACAACACAAGACTCCGGCCAACTAGCGTTGTAATTAAATCCAACATTAAGGTGAGTCTAGCGGAAAATAAAAAGAAAGCCGTGAGATAGGGATTAAGGACTTAAAGAAACACGACAAAGGTAGTCGTGTAGCATTTTTAGCTGTAGTTTGCGCAGTTATTTCCCCGACCTTTTTGTTTGGCTTAGGTTAGCTGCTAAAGGCAAAGGGCTAACTAGCCAACTAGCTCTCCCCGCTTAAGCTGTGGTGCTATTGGTGCATTGTCTGGATTACCGGCAGGATTTATGTATTAATAGCTATGCCAGAGACTGTCACGTTTCTTTTTTATGACCACAATGGTCTGCATTCGTAATTAAAATGCGATGCCATTTCAAAACGAAATACCGGTGTCGATTAGTGCACATTGTTAGCAGGTTAACTACCTGCTAGTGTCACCGCCTACATTAAGTGAGTTTAACTTCCCGGCATGAACTAAATTAAAGTACAGGCTCTTCAACTTCAAAGAAATACTCAGAAAAATACCATGTTTAAACTTTGGTGTTGCATTCAATTAGATTTGGAATTCACAACTGGGCCTCCGTCATACTGTTTATTGGAGTCATTCACTCACTGCTCAGTCAGTGCAGGCTGTTTTAGCTCGAAAGGTTTATCCGTGGAAGTGCTCATGTGGTTATGACTTGTATTCCTGTAAAGTGTATAAACCATGCTGCTCACAAAGTGGTGAGGTGACCAGCTGTCAGGGATTATTGTTTGGGTGGAAATTGTGAGTCAAAGTTCACTGTGAACACTGATTGCCTTCTCGGTTTAGGCACAAAGTAATGAGTGAGTCAGGTCAGTGTAAACAAACAAAGTCTTAAACCAGTCGTGTTATTTATGTGTTTATCTCAAATCTAAAGGAGGACGTCTACATCTCTGATGCAGCTGTGCTGTATTTCTGGCAGGTAAACTGAGTTGTAAACTGTGGCTTTGAGAAACTTTGTTTTTAAGAAGCCTTTCCCCCCGCCAATCAAATAATTTATCAGAACATAGACTTGCAGCTCTATATTTAGGTGATGCTGAGTATTACTTGCAGTGCAGGGCTGTCTTGCAGCAGTTGCACTGATTCCAGCAATGCATTTCTTTTGCCAAATCAAAAACCTGCCGTGCAGCAGACTTGAAGTGGCCTTTAATCTGTTTAATCCCTGAGCTCATCTTTTTTTTTTTTCACCCCCCCTATACTTAACTCAGTTGAGCTGAGTTCACCTTCAGTGGGATCACCCACTAAGAAAAATCCACTGCCTGTGAGCTTTCATTGCTATTTTGTTAAAAACGCATAGGTTGCAGAGTGACTGCTGCAGCTGAAATCTCAAATAGGTTTTCAACTTAATGCATATGATTGTGATTTCTGAGTCACAAGCATTGGCTTCATCCCTAGGAAGGGCTCAGTGATGGGTTTAAATTACTGCAATCAAAAGAACATTTTAATTAATATTTGGGTGATTTTTATTTAAAAAATTCAGACCACTCAGTCAGACCACTGACTGTTGTGTTAATGAATGGCATCTGTGCTACTTAATTTTCCCTTCTTACATAATAGACATGGTTGACATGTCAGGATTTGCGCTAAAGGGATGCACTCTGGGTTTATTAGCTCATTAAGATGTAGGGGATTATGTATTATTATGAGCACACTGACCCTAAATGCAGGTCTATGTTAACTTATTTCATTTCAGTTGAGTACTGTGTGGTTAGATAAATGTCTCCAAAGGATCATTTAGTTTTTGAGCTTCAAACCCCCCCCCAAAACTAAACCAATGTTTGATACAAAATTAAGCAAATTGAAAACAGTAATGCTACTCTGATACTCCCATGTGTCTTTGGAGGTTAAGACAATAAGTGTATCTGTTGGTAACAATATGAACCAGGTGACCAGTGATCTTAGCAATGCATTGAGGCCTGTCCTCCCTTTAACCCTCATGTACGTGGTGAAGCGAGCGGGGTTTTGCTCGGGAAGTACAGACAGGAGCCGAAACCTGGCTGCTAATGCTTTTTCGCCCTGTCAAATCCCCTTCAGTGTAATTGCGGGTCTGCGCAAAGTTGAGGATGAGAACGAGGCAAGCTGATCGCTGTAGCAAAATCAATAGTTCATACCTCTCCGAGATTGAGTTTTTAGGAAAGGAGGAGCACCGTGACCGAGGGCAGAATATGAAATCGCTCCCACAGAGGCCGAACACGCGCCCTGCAATCGATCCCCGGTCCCTGTACCAATTATAGTTTTAAGGTTTTCTGTGGCTTACTGCAGTCCTCAAAGACCAAAGCTTTGGAAACAGACATTGTGTTCACTGACACTTCGACAAGGCCTGCAATTTTTTTTTTCATCCCCCCCGTTGAAAATTGCTGTCTGAAATGCCTCCAAACCTCCAGTCTTTAATTTAGAGTAGAGATTGATTTGTCCTTTTTTTCGTCCTCTTTTTTTTTTAAGTCAGGTGAGTAAAATGTCAGGAAACACATAACTGCCACAGTGTGTATTCCACATCTCCACAGGTTTTTATTTATTATTTTTATCACCTACAAATAAAACATGTCCAGTATACAGCAGGATCATTTGCATTAACTGCATTTGGTCTTATTTGAATAGGAAAAATATTACTAATAGTTTTTACTTGCCATTGAAAATGCAGCAAAAGTTACACTTTTCTTACCATGATTTTAATCATTTATTTATTTTTATCGCATATCCACCTTCATTTGTTGGTGATGGACTCAGTCCTCCTTTGCATAGCGCTGCACAGATATACGGAGAGCTTGTTTCTGCTTGACTCGTTGCATTTCTCTTCCTTTGTCTCTAAAATATCCTGAAGGTGCTCTTTTGGATTCAAGTTAGACAACATACTTTTTGTCTTAGTTTTTGCCCCCCACCCCACTTGTGATTTTTGGCACTACGCTTTGGGTAGTTCCTCTTCTGACAGGCTTCTGCAGACTAGGAGTCATTCATTGTGCCGTCTATAAACACCTTAGCTCTCATGCAGTCACACATCCTCACAATCCCACATCCAGAGCTCCCAGTGTTGGGGGTTTGCTTTGATTGTGATAATTCTGGTCAGGCGCAAACCAAACATACTGGACCCCATCTGAGCTGAGCAAATTTACCGCAGTCTCAGCTGTCCTCTCAATATATACCAGGATCGTTTTTTGTGTTCGCAAAGTAATCGTGGAGTTTTGTGTTGAACTCAGATCCACTTTATAGTCTATGTCACCCTTTGCCAAGATTTGTTTTCCTATTATTTTCTTTTTATGTTGTGTAGTTACTCGGTGGGTTTTTGTAGCCAAAGCTGTCACGTTGGATGATGTCAGCAGCTCTGTGAAGTTTGGCCTTTTTTGTGTTTGAAAATTGAAAAGGCTTGACAAATTGGCAGGTTAATGGAGTTTTATTTCCTGTAACATCTCCCAGGCTTTGAATGTACTTTTGCAATCTGCTGTGTTTTGATTCCAGGTGTTATTATTGTAAGAGCCTTGCCCTACCTTTTGCTAAAATGATTGGACTGTATATTGCCAATATGATTATAGTTGTCTTACACAATACTGCTCTTTTTCTGCTTACATTTTTTTAAAGAAAAGACCTAAGCAAATGAATAATGCTTTTTAATTTGCTTATGCCCCTTATGTTACCATTATAAATGGACAATATGGTGGTGGAGTGCTTAGCACGGTCTCCTCACAGCAAGAGAGCTCCTGGTTTGAACCCGCTTGCTAGCTGTAGCTTGTCTGTATGGATTTTGCCTGTTCCCACTTTACCTGCATGGGTTTTCTCCAGGTGCAATGGCCTCCTTCTACAGTACAAAGACACACATGTTAGGTCTTTCAATTTATTCTAAAACTAGTTGTAAACATGAGTGTGACTGGTTGTCTATCTCTATGTGTGGGCCCTGTGATAGCCTTGAAAGCTGTTCAGGGTGCACCTTGCCTCTTGCCCAGTAACAGCTGATGAGACGCTACCTGAGTTGGATAAGCGGTTAAGATAGATGGGTGTAACGTCATAAAATAAAACCTTTCTGACAGTTTACTTGAAATGTATGAACACTTTGAATGTATGAGCCCATAACTAAACAACCAGAAGGAAAATGGTTAAGATAACTGGACTCTAAGCTGCAGTCAAGCACAACAGCATGCTTGAGCCAAAGCGATGTGAACGATAAGCTACAGCAAACTAAAGGAAACTGCATTCCTCCAGTAGGCGTTAACACATTGTTTTTGTCCCTGCCCTTACATCTAAAAGCTCTGCTGTACTTTTTTAAATATGTCAAAAATGTTAACATGGTTATTAGGGAATAACATACATTAGCCAGGTTAGCAGTTGTAGCATTTGTCTTTTAACATTAATTGCACAGGCTCAGTGGACTGCCAGAATGAGTTTTAGTACTTCCCCCTAACTGGTGATAAGTGTTTAGATTATCAGGTGTAAATTAAGCTGCATCAATTTATCACAAACCCTTTGACCTCTGTGAATGACATTTTAAAGTTACACTATATAAATGGAAATGATTCAGTATTTTCACACATCACAAATTTGTCACAAAGGACTTTATAATCTGCACAGCACGTGTCATCCTCTGTTCATAGGCCCTCCATTCAGAGATGGGAACACGCCACAAAAAATATTTGACAGGATACTGACAAAGACCAAAGAGACTGATGCAAGTTAGTATCAAGAGCTTTTTAACACCAAGTCCTAATGAAACAGCTTTATCTGAAATACAGCAAACCAGCTGCTGCATGCAACTTGCAGTGTACACTAAAACAACACGAAAACTTGCCAATTTCAAATAAGATAAAGCAACAAACCTTTTTGAAATAGGGTTGCAGCGTACTCCTTCTATTACTTGTCAGTGACAAATCTATAAAAATGTCTTAACTGTTAGGTGTGTTGGATGAACAATTCCTGCAGTAAATGCTGTCATATAGTGTGCTTCTATAACCTTCCTGACAGCAAAAGGCACTCTCTGTTTCAACTGCTGTGTGGCTTTAGTGCAAAGCTACAGCAGCAGATAACGTCCTGTTTAAATTAGCAGTAACT